ACGCGTTTCGCCCCTCCCCCAGGGGCTTCGTCAGGACATCCTGACGAAGCCCCTGGGGGAGGGGCGAAACGCATAGACGCTGCATATTGAAATGTTTGGATGACCCAGAGAATGTCGGACATCCTGTTCTAATGTCTACCTACATCACTCTTTTTTGGGCTCCCAAATTACCTGTGGATTCTCTGCGCACATCTCTAACCACTAAGAGTGTGCCAACTGTGTCGGAACTTCTGAGAGATATTGCTGCCCTTCCTCCATACACACCCTCCGCCGAGGCATTCGCTGGACTCTATTACAAGGAGGAGGAATAGGTTGCGTAACCTCCGAAAAAATCAAAAGAGGATATCTCCAAAAAGAACAAACAGGATACGTGAGTAGGAACGTTGAAATTGCTTTATTCTATGTGCTTTTTTCAAATAAGACAAAACCTCCCCACTTATTTTGGAAACATTAAGGGGGAAAAATCTAACCAATACGGTATACTCACCCAACCAAAACACACTAATACCTGAAACATGATACACACATGATAAAAAATCAGAACTGAGAGAATCTGAGAGAATTCCTCAGTGGGAATACAGTCTATCAAAAGAGCTACTATGTAACACTCCATACTGAATACAGGCATATCTAAATCAAGCAAGGTGGCGAGCTGCAAGCTACATCAGTCCACAAAGAAATGTGATATATGACAAGCCTGGGATTAATGCTTATCCACCTGGAGTATGTACTATTGCAACTTAAAAGCTGTTACCCAAAAGGTCTTAATATAAGGGTGCCGAAATAAATAGGGTCTATATCTACCATCCAGAACCAAATGGATTTACAGTCAATTTTTGTGATTTTAATGGTGCTGTTAGGTGTTTTGGTGGTGCTTTGATATGTACTAATAAAGTTTTTGTACGATTTTCCAATTTGGTCTGTCCCGATCTTTAGTTAACCCCTAGACTGTCTTCCCTTTGAAGGCAGCCTGATCCCTGTTTTTGTATATGCCATTACCTGGTTACTGACACGGTAGACAGACCGTTCTAAAAGGGTAACCTATAGAGCTTTGATCTCCAGGAGTAAAACAACCCCAGTCTATGTCGATAAGTCAAGTTTCATTTTAAATTCTGCTGAACAACCAGAAATTAGAAGATCCACTCAAGCAACAAAGGGAATACCACTCTGCAAACTGTCATATACTGCTAAAACACATAACCAACATTAGGCGCACACACCATTCACCATGACCACCAATCAATGCAGCACTACAGCACACTTTGCATGGACCACTTTCTTTAGTCAACATAAATCTGTCCATACAAGAAAAAGGACACTTGGCTGCATTTGCCCCTTTAAGCCAAAGGTTCCCAGTCCTCCCCTGGTATGTACCATCTGTTCTTCTGGAGGTACTTTTGGTTCGATTTCCTCTTTAAATTTAGTAGAAATCTGTATGTATAACCTTTCTTTTAAATAAAGCAACTTACTTTTTAACATTTATTGTTTCTCACCCATGTAGCTGTTCCCTGTGGTGCCTTTAACTATAAATGTGCAGATGGAACCTGTGTGAAGAAGATTAACCCTGAGTGTGACTCTGTTAAGGACTGCTATGATGGTTCTGATGAAAGGAATTGCAGTAAGGAGTGTGTCTATCTGTAAAATGATGAGAGATATTAGATAAAGTGATGCTATGTTAAGTATTATAGGCTGACTAAAGACTGTGGAATGATGCTATACAATACTATTATTTTGGAAATGTATGTGGGAAGTAACTAGTGCTAAAAAAAAATCATACAACTGTAGGGCAGTGGTTCTAGAAATAGGTTTGTTTTTGATGTTGTTATTGTATTGCACACCTAGGGCCAGTCTTTTGCCTGTGTTGGTGTTCAGTGGGAAGAAGAATGTCTCTTACATTGGTGGTTAGTGGAAGTAAGAAAGAAGGAACCCTTACATTATTAGGGAGTAGAAAAAAAGTGTGTGGGGGTGGATCTCCTAAAGTAGTAGATTTTTTCAGTCAGGTCTTAATAGAGAGAATGATTCTGAACAGGTGATGAAGATTGGCCATTTGTGCACGTAGGGTCTGGGTGTGCAAGAAGGAAAGCTCATACAGTAAAAGCAAAATGTATTAAGACCAGATTCAATTTTTTAGACTCTTACTAGAATCTTACTGGACTGATAAAATTGGGGGGATGTTGGTTAAGCCAAGGCCAAGGCTTAACCCGCATCCATGGCAATCATACTAATTACCCCTCAGGATCTATCCAATTAGTATTAGTCCAGTAAACAGTTTGTTTAACAGTACCAAACCTTGATGAAGGGGGATTCTTTGAACCCCCAAAATGCATTGGCCTTCTATGACATCCGAGTCCGAATAAAACTAAATCTAGACTTTATACATTCTGCTTTTAGCACGTTTCTTCTTGCGCACCTTGACTGAGAACTTACTCTTCTTTGGGTCAAGAGTACGAAATGCGCACAGTGCATGGTCAAGAGTAGGTAATCTTCAGAGTGCAGGGTGTCAGGTGAAAAAAACACAGATAATGCAGGGGACAGGAGTAGTAACACTAACAGTGCAGGGGACAGGAGTGAGTAATGCACATAGTGCCGAGGTCAGGTGTAAGCAACACAGAGTGTGCAGAGAACATGAGTATGCAACAGAGCAAAACTGCCCCAGCAAAAAATATGTTTTCTGTTTTATTTTTCCTTTCAATTGGAATCCACATATATATAAACCAAAGTTGAATAAAATCATTGTTCACCATCATGAACACTTCACCCGGGGTTATACAGCAAAAATATATGATTTCCAGTACTTGTGGCCCCATTACATGTGCTGCCCCTCCATTTATATGATTGAGAACATTCAGTCAAGTTTGTTAAAAAGGCAGTTGCTGCTAATATGTTTGCAACTGTTACTACCCTCCAATTTTTATTATGACTGTATGTTGCGGTACATCTTAGGGGCAGGTAGTGCTACTAATTGGCTGTATTGTAATCTGGGCCCAAACACAAACAAACATTTAAAAGGGTGAAGGCCCATGCAGTGCTGTAATTTATCGGGCCAATCCCAAGCTCAATTTTAGAAAGGGCCATGTTGTCACTCCAGATACACTCACAAGCAGGACTGTGAGTCTTTCCACAATATTCCACTCAATCAAATAATTAATAAAGAGTTAAACTAAAAATGTAATTTTGTTTCAGGTGCTGGTGATATTTGGTCAACATAAATTATTTATTTGCCATCCTTTGTAACCCTTTCCAGACATCCCAACCTGCAAAAACTTATTTAAGGGAGGTGCCCTCTCCCCCATCCTTGCCCCCACCGCCACTGATGGGTGGGGGGCAGCAGATAGCAGGGGAATGAGTAGATAGCAGAGGAGTTATTGCTTCCCCTGCTATCCGCTGTTTTGTTTTTTGTATTCTGACAGCAGCGGCCATCAGAATAAAAACAAAAAACAGATGGCAGAGGAATGAGAACTTCAGGTCCACCTCTGCTGATTGACAGCAGCAGTGGGCGGGTGCAATAGCCAGTGGGTGCAACAGCCAGATAGCAGGGAAATCAGCAGATAGCAGGGGATCCCAGAAAGGTTTACTCTGCTTGATAGAGCAGAGAAAACCTTTCTGAGATAAAATGTTTCTCTCGCGGTCGTCAGGGAGCCGCTATCTTATAGCAAGAGACTTCCAGAACGTCCAGGAGAGTTGGGATGTCTGCCTTTCAGACCCCCCTTACAATAACATAGTTTGATACTGTGATATAAATAAAAATTGTCCTTATTTCTCACAAAGGTTGTGGCATTCAAGCACTTCAAGATCGCATTGTTGGGGGAACTGAGGCTCAAGAAGGGGAATGGCCTTGGCAGGCAAGTCTACAGATGGACGGAGAACACAAATGTGGTGGGACTTTGGTGGCTGATAAGTGGATTCTGACTGCAGCACATTGCTTTCAAATAGAAAGGTAATGATAAATGGGGCAATTCAATGAAAGCACCTAAGGATCTTAAATATTAGCAGGGGCAACAGGACAAGACATGCATGTTAAACTAACAGTGAAATGATGAGTAGATATGAACAGAAATATAAATAAATATAGCTCCAGCTTCCAATGCTCCGGCTCAGTTCACACTTGGATGCATTGGCCCGTGTTTATGCAACACGTTAAAAATGTGTGACAAGCTTGCAATGACATTACTTGTTAATGGCGCCCCACATGTGGCCGGGAAAATGCGGGTCCTTCCAAAGCGCATGGACAAAAAAACTGCTGCATGAGCATCCTTGCCGCATTTGGCGTGCATGTGCCAGCCCAATGAAGTGAGTGGGCTGACACGCAGCAATCGCACACAAGCATGCACAAATGCACGCCGCGAGTGTATGCCAAGTGTGAATGGGGCCTCAGAGTTAATGTTGACACCACCATGCCTCTCAGCAGAGCTGGTGCTCAAAACCCCACAAAAATGTACTCCAGCCCATGCCCATTCCATGAGGGGCCTTCTCACAGGAGTGAGAGCAACCAGCTCTGCTAGCGGACTTTAGAAAAGGTGGACTATGAGGGTGATTCACACAGCTAGCCGAAAGATCAGCCGTAGCTTCGGCTGATCCTTTGGCTATCTTCGGTTGCGGGAGCCTTTCAGTTCAGTTGAACCGAAGGACTGCAGTAGCGCTATCCACCATAGGGCGTACAGCACCTGAAGGCGGCCAAACGGCTTAGCCGAGCAGAAGGCATATGCTTTGGCTCGACTGAAATCTTCAGAAATCTTTATTTATTTTTTTAGATTTAACCTTTATTTGCATTTAAAAAAATATTTTTTCATCTTTATTTTTTTTGTCATCTTTTCATTGAATTGCTATTCTGCTCAGTGCCACGGAGGTACAGAGCAGAATAGCCTAGCCGAATGCAGCTTGGCGGCATTCTGCTATTCACTCACTGCCTTTCGGCCACTATGTGAATGGGGGCGACCGGCAGCGAGCGAGTCCTTCGTGTTGAAGTCCTTCTGCACTTCAGTTCAGCCGAACATGCAGAGCATGTACGCCTGATTTCAGACAATGTATGCCTGAAATCAGCCATGCAATGCCTTAAGTGAATAGTCAAATCCGGCTCACTTCACTTCAGCTGGGTTGTTCACTCGACTGCCTTCAGCAGCTTTGTGAATAACCCCCTAAGGGCTTGTTCACACCACGCCCCGGATCATACAGCTCTGGGCAGGCTTCCACAAGTTCTACAAAGAATTTAGTGTCGACTTCGGCTATCATGGTTCCTATCTTCACAAATCTCTCTCCACAGAAGCAGGAAGTCCAGGGGTGATGAGATCATCCAAACTAGCCAAAAATATATTTTTCCCATTGCGTTGAGTTCCGGTGCATTCTGTTGCGTTCTGGTGTGTTTTTGACGCGTTTGTGCAGGTTCCGGTGCGTTCCAGGCAAATTGTGACACGCAGTATTTCTCTGGTCTGGTCTGGAACTGACTGCGATGGTGTGAACGGAGGCCAAGAAGAACTTAGCGAAACAATGGGATGCATTTTAGGTCCGGAAACAATCTGGTCTGGTCTGGAGGTTATCTGGAGGTGGTGTGAATGGGCCCTTAGGGCATGCTGCAGTTTTTCTACATGCTCTGGAACTGAACGCTCTGGTGTGAACTAGAGCCCAAAATACCATTGGAATACATTGGACACAGTTTTGATCCCTTCTGTAACTGCCCTGCTCTGCATCTGCTCAGTGCTTAGTGTGAACTAGCGCTAAGTGTTGGCTTTAGAACTGTCATGTGATGGCTTGGCTTGGTATCTACTGTGCCACTGACCTGAAACACCATGCATCCAGTGAAGTCTGAAATGTAAAGAGCTTCCATCCTATTCTCACAGGTTTACTTTAAAACAATTCATAAAGAATTGCATTATTTGTCTTTACAATCATTGTTTACAGTAGATATTAGTAATATTTGCTGTAAATATTGATTTTTATGGCCAAAAACATTTATGGCAAAGGAAAAGCGGTAAACCGGTCCATACTATAATATCAAAGTGACAGTCCTGCCCTCTTAGCATTTAGCATGCAACACCAAGCCCAACCCCTGCAGTCTCTGCCTCCAGTCTGTGCCTATGTTCTGAATGGAAAGAGGATAGAGAAGAAGAGCATGAGCTTTTGGGACAACTGTGATAATAGGAGGAAGAGACTCTGGGAATGGCTATGCTATGTGCTAACCTTTGAGCCACTGTGTATTATCTAGTTATTACGTTTGACAAGAGATGGGGCACTGCACACATCCCATCAACATTTCATCATTTATTATATAATGTAGTGCAATGCCCTTTATATCTTGTTCTGTGGAAACACACTGCACTTAAAGCTTTGGGTGTCAGCTAGAGCCTTTGTATTTACTGTTACTGACCTGAATATTTTAGTTGTTCATCAATATTTTATTGACTTCCAGGGAGTCCTTAAATTATTCTCTGGATTAGCTATCACAAAATTAGCATCATTTTGCCACCAAACAAGCCCTTTATGTGACATAACTCTCTGTACTGTATACCACAGAAAAAGAAGCAGCTGGATGTTCTCACCATGTTTCTATACAGTTATAAATGTAACACCAAGAAACCTGAGTTTGAGGTGTCACCGTTTCAGATATTAGTATGCCAGGCTGCTTCTTTGGCTACTCTGGCATCTTAGTACTGGTGACCAGAACTGGACCGCATACTCCAGATGAGGTCGAACCAAGAAAGCCTTTAGCCCACATTCATACCTAGGCATTAATGCGCGTTTGCTCTCCACATTTGCTGCACGTCCCCTTTGATTTCAATGGGCTTCTATATGCGCAACAAGCGTAGCAACGTAGCTTATGTAGTAGTTTGCTCGACACACATTCTGCGTTTTTTGGTTCCCCGTTTGAGCACGTTTTCATGCGTACACATGTGGAGCAAAAACGTGCATCTTGCTGGTCGCCTTTGGGGTCCCATTAGAAATTAATTGTGTGTTTTGCCACGTTTCTGCAAAAACAGAATGCACAGGTGTGAATTAAGGTACACCGAAATAAAATTTTCGGAAAAAAAACGAAAATTAAAAAAAGTTTCTAACTTTTTTCAAATTGTTTTCAAATATTTTATTTTTATTTATTTATTTTTATTAATAAAAAAATCTTCAATCTCTTTTTTCTGCAGCCCCTGTTCAAAATGAACAGGGAGCTTTTATACTTAGTATTCCTGTTCATTCAGAACTTGTGGAGATAGTATGTTTACCATGTCCACAATCAAGAATGGACAGGAAGTGATGTAGAACCTTTCCCATTGATCACTGATCGCTGAGTGCTTGTACCCACTCTCCATCCTGACTCGCTGTCACAGGACGCTGAGCGAGCGGTGCGTGAGAAGAGCTTGATCTCCTCTGACAGCTGACGCCTCCCCCACACCACCACTCTCCTGATCTGTCACAGGAAGCTGAGCGGGGCGGTGCGGGAGGAGAGCTCAGCCTTCTGTCTGTAATAATCGCCCCGGACCGGGTCTTCTTATCGAATATGGATCACAACTGCGGTGTCTGGGTACGGGTATGGCTTTAAGCCGAGCGCTCGCTCTAGAGGGGGCGGAGCTACGGGGCGCGCCTGCGCAGGACGCATCTCCCGGCAGAGAGAGAGGCGCCGGCGATCGATAACGCGCCTGCGCAGCACGATTCCGGGCACTGACACCAGGAGCCGTCACCTGCTGTGTGCGACCCGAGGAGGAGAGGACCCGACGTGTCTGCACAGGCCCGCGACGGACGGCGGCACCGGACCTCACCGGGGTACGACCATTACACTGTCACAGCACTGTCAGCTGTCTCTGCCCCCACATCTGTCACAGGAGGCTGAGTGGTGCGGGAGGAGAGACGCCGGCCACTCACAGCGCCCTTCTCCCCCGCACCGCTCAGCCTCCTGTGACAGTTTCTCTCCTCCCCGCTGGACGATGCACTGTGTCAGAGCAGTGCCCAGCGGGGAGGAGAGAAAGCAGGGATGCGCCACTATTTCAGCCGAAAGATGGCACTTTCGGCATTTTGCCAAAAGTCCCATTTTTGGCTGATATGTTTCGGCGGCTGAAATTGTGGTGCATCCCTACTTCTCAGTATGGGTTTAATGTAAGTATTCCAGTCTGTTGTATTAATCACCCATCCACAAGCTAGTGATACTGTCCCTCTGCTCTTACTTGTTCCACCGATAGCATTTGACTGGCAATCTGGGCTGACATTCTTGTTTCATAGAGTGTTTTTTTTTTCCTTTCAGAGTCCTACTATAACTAAAACGTACAAAATACACTGAGTGGCCAGATTATTATGACCACCTGACGTTTGTAGGCAAATTAGCTATAATTTCGTGCTGAAGTTGCTAGAGGGCGAGACCATTATAAATAGGGAAGCAGGTTGTTTACCACAACAGTAGAAGTAATTTTTTTCTGAAGATATGGGTAAACAACGCGATTTAACAGCATTTGAACGTGGGATGATTGTTGGCACTCTGAGCCATGGAGCGAGTATCAGCAAAACAGCAGAATTTGTTAAATGTTCAAGAGCAGCTGTTAAAGTGTTTAAAGACTGGACTGTCAGCCGAAAATCTGGGTCTGACGTGCGAATTGTGGCCGTCAGCGACTAGTCAATGTTAGGGCAGAACAGAGAGTGGTAAGACTGGTACAAGACAACAGAAGGGCAACAGTGCATCAAATTACTGCAGATCTTAATCAGGGATCCCCTCAAATGATCTCTGAACACTGCTCCCACCAAGCTGGTGGGAGCAGTGTTATGGTTTGGGGCATGTTTTCCTGGCATGATTTGGGCCCTTTAATTCGTGTGGAACAACGTCTGAATAGCACAACATACCAAAGTATCGTTGCTGATCAAGTTCACCCTATCATGTTGATGGCGTATCCCAATGGAGATGGCTTCTTCCAACAAGACAATGCGCCATGCCACGGTGCTCGTATTGTGCAGGAGTGGTTTCAAGAACATGAGGGAGACTTTACCTTGCTTAGGTGGCTCCCACAATCACCAGATCTCAATCCAATTGAGCATTTGTGGGACGACGTTTAAAGAGCCATCAGGCAGCTGCTTCCACAACCATCAAATCTCACATAACTGGACAGTGCTATTCATCAGGCATGTTGTCAGATTCCTCGCATCACCTTTCAACATCTCGTGGAGTCAATGCCAAGAAGAATCACTGCAGTATTGAAGGCCCAACGAAGTACTGATGGGGTGGTCATAATAATCTGGCCACTCAGTGTGTTTACATAGAACAAAATTAAGGATCTATTGTATTTATTTATTTTTTTATTTGTAGATTTAAATTTTTAGTCTGAATAATTTTAAATGGTTGCAGTTTTACTCGATACCCTGCCTTGTTTTTAGCCTGGGCCTTACTTATGGGTTTTTAATACAGGACTACCCAAGTACATGTTAATAACACTTCTTTCAGCATTAGATACACTTGAGACCCTGCTATTGATGTCTGATTGATGGATAACTTTGGCTCCAGGCTAGGCTATGTTTGTGCTGTTGTGTTCTCCTACTGGAAAGATTTCCCTTGACTGCCTGTCATGGAGACGCAACAAGAAATGAGGAAAAAAAACTCCCCAAAGTTAGAGGAATTTATATTTTAGACAGCTTTCAACAAAACAAGTGTTTCCATTGGAAGACTTCCCCTCACTTCTTGCTCTAATAAAACCTCACAATTCTCTCTCCTCACTTCCTGTTTCAGTAAGAGTGGTCACCAGAAAAAAATAAATAGAGGGGTGAGTCCCCCAACAGAAACACAGCAATAAAAACCTGACAGAGGGTTTAGCGCTTACCTGGTTTATTTAAAAAAAAAATGCATTTACATACACTTTAAGGGTTCTATCACCTATTACGTAGACCTAATTTTTTTCTCATGAATAAGCCATTTCTCACCATTGACTCCATGTTGCAGTTACTCTACTCCTGAGGTCTGGACAGTGGTCCTTGGAAAGGTGCGTCTAAGTCAAAGAAGCCAGAAGGAGATGGCCTTCAAAATCATACAGTTGGTCCCTCACCCATATTATGATGTTGATACACAAGATTATGATATTGCACTTGTAGAGCTTGACCACGCTGTGCCTCTTACGTCTCCCCATGTGCAACCTATTTGCCTTCCTGCCAGCACCCACCATTTCCCTACTGGCTCCACTTGCTGGGTCTCAGGTTGGGGAGCAACTTATGAGAAAGGTAAGTAAGACGTAGTCTTCTTTTTGCCTACACATGTGTTATATATAAATACCAAAATTATTCTCAAAGTTACTAGAAGGCTGTGTGCTATTTAACTATGAAACCTTAGCTAGGACCTTAAAGCCATAGCTGAGATCATTTTCACAAATGCTGAATGAATAAGAAAAATGCATATTAAGGTAAAACCCATCAACCTCCAACATGAATTGAAGCATAAACATATGTTACCTGCGCCAAAAAACATAATGCCTGGATCTGTAGATCCCAAAGTTATAAGCTTTAGTTATAAGCAAATGTTGAAATTTTTAAGTGACAACTAGTAATGAGAATTGGGTTCAGGTCTGACATGGGTTTAAGGCGAACCCAACCCATTCACAGACCTGGCGAAATAATGGTGATTTTGCATCATGGTAACCAACTAAATATATTGCACTTCCTGGCCTTTGAACCTAGGTAAGGTGGCTTAGTAGGGGCAATGGGGGGGGGGGGGGGGGGGGATTTGCCTCAGCCAGCCCACTAACTTTAAAAAGTCAGGATCTCAGCAGCCATATTGACAATATGCTTATTTGTGATATGGAAAGTATAGGAAGTGCTTGAGGTAAAGTGCATAAGGACAGATTAGTGCAGGCTTGTAGGCACTGGCTGGTCTGTTAAAGTAGATATAAACCCTTACTTAATGTCATGTAGGTAGCATAATTCTGTGTATTCTGGGCAAATTGGTTGTTGAAGAAGCAAGGATTTTGACCTCTTAATGCTTCCTGCAGCTTCATTACAGCCTGTTCCTTTCCACATGCACTACAGTGATCACAGGCAGCATGTACTTTTTTTCACAGGGAATATTTCCTTATTGTTGCTGGCTGTGATTGATTTTTGACAGGCTCTTTACAGCCTGTTCCTTTCCACATGCACTCTAATGATAACCTGCTGTACAGAAATTCTGTTTGTTCACCAAAATAATAAGTGCTCCTAAATTATGTAGACTTTCTAAAAATGAAATACAAATAATGTATGTAAACCAGTGAATATGCAGCTAGTTTAAATAGGTGTATGAACATACAGATAATCGAAGAAAAAACAGAGCTTTCACCTGTTTATAGTATACAATATGTCACTTTCTTAATATAATAAAAAATCAAATGTAAGTTGCAAAAAAGGAGTTTCAGTGATGTATAAATTTCAACAACAGTGATGTCTCTTCATACAAATTTCCTTCAAGAACTTTAAAGTAAGTATAAAACTCACCAAAAGAAAGACACTTCTTATTACAGAAGGTCAAATCAAATCAATCATGACCATCTAGGACTCCTATTCAGACTAGTGATTAGCCAAACGACCCCGGGTTCGGTTCAGGGCAGGTTCGGAGAACTTATTAAGTTTGGGTGCCAAATATGAAGTCCATGGAAGTCAATGGAAGCCAAATCTTATAAATTGCTAATGTCCATTTTCTAGGCTAATGGGTAAGACAATTGCAAACAAATGGCGCAGGGAGCTGAGCAGTACTCTGGAGGACATGTACCAAAGCAAAAATAGTTTTTGTTTTTTAATTCTGTTTGGCTGGGAGGAGTGATTTTAAAAATGAGTAAAGAGCAACATTAAAAATGAGCACTTCCTTTCAATAACATGCTTGCAGGATGTCTTGAACTTGCCTGTGAAGTGGTGCATCTGTATGATGTGTACAACTAGGAATGAGGTTCGCATTTGCCACCAAGTTGGGTTTGCAGCGAACTTTGCATATTCCCCCAAATGGTGAACTTATGGGCAAGTTTGCCCAGGCAACAAAGATGAACCCCATATTGACCTGCAAACTCTGGTCAGGTCAAGAATTATGGTCAATAATGGGGCTTTGAAAATATGCCAGTCCTCACTATAAAAGTCAGCTCTTTCAGCATTGTTTTGTCAGTGTTTGATGGAGTTATTGGGGGACAACTGACAACTATGTGAGGGAGAGTTTGTGTGATTTGTATAGTACTAGTAGTGTGCCAATGCTGAGTTATATAGTGTTATATACACTGCTGAATATTACCATGGCTACAATACAGTGATTTGCAGCGTGGTGGGCTGCAGAGACTCAAAACTGAATAGGACTATTTTTTTTGTCTGTGTCAGAGACAACCTCTGTTGCTGTTCCCCTTTTTTTTTTCTTTGGTGGTGGTGGTGGGGGGGTCCTTCTTGTTATTTTTTATTTTCTACAAAAGAAAACTAAAAAACAAAAAGGGGGTGGCATCTATTCATTCTTTATATTATTAAGTAGGAATGCACCAGTGCCAATACTGGGCATTTTAACAAGTACTCGTACTCATGAAAATGCCCCGATACTAACCGCAGATACCAGTCTTCTGTCGAGAACGCTGATCTAGTCAAATTTGCTTACCTCTGCTTGCGCACAGACCAGTATTATCGAGGAAACAGGCATTTATTGACAAAGTATTTAGTTTAAATCGTTAATTGTGACCGTTAATAATATGCCATCCATCATTTACTGCCATGGATGGCAAATTATTAATGGTCACAATTAACTATTACAAACTAATACTTTGTCAATAAATGCCGGTTTCCTCGGTAATCCCTTCTGCGCAGATACTGGGTCATTGTTCTCGACAGAACACCGGCACTAACAGGGCTATTCACAAAAGTGTGAAGAGTTTGGAGAAGGCAGGAGAAGTGAACAATCTAGGCCAAAATAGCTGATTTGGAAAAATTATCCAGTTCAGCTCACTTTCCAGTTCAGCTATGTTGTCCTAGATTGTTCACTTCTCCTGCCTTCTCCAAACTCTTCACCCTTTTGTGAATAACCCTGAAAATGTTTAAACTGAAGTGGTTGATTGAGGTCCTGCGCTTGCTGGGGACCTCGGTGGCCTTCCTGTTAACCACACAGTGCCTGTTTAAAGTGCCATCTCAATGGCGGTGAGGGGGTTGGGGGGCCCTTCATGGTTTCTTGCACCGGGAACCTGAAGTTCCTAGTTAAGCAACTGCTAGTAGATATAAAGAAAAGCGCGCAGTGCTACCGATTCAGGAAAGCAATTAATGTACCAGCATTAATCCTTTTTAAAGTGCATATTTAATTGATCTTCCACAAATGTGATAACAAATCCACACGGTGCTCCACACAACAAAGTGATCCGCAATACTCAAATTCAACATATTCCAGGTGATAAAAAATTGAAAGTGTCACTCTCCCCATGCAAAGATAAAGCTTTCTATCCGCACTCACCATAACAAGTTGATCAAGATTAATTGAACACTTATTTATATGCAATTTTAAAACGGGATATTTTTATATTTCCTTTTAATTGTCACTATTACTGCTAAGAGATATATTTATTGAATGCTATAACCTGTTAGGTCTAAGTTATATACTCTTTAAGAATCAGTTAAGGGATTGCACTTTATTATATATCTAAAATATTGTGGATACACTTTAGTAGAAATTGTTGATATTGAGGCACTTTAGTAGAGAATATTTATTTGTCCAACATGCACTTTAAAAAGGATTAATACTGGTAAACTAATCGATTTCCTGATTCTTCATGGAAAAAAAAAATGTGTATTTATAATTTTTTGCATTGGAGCCAGTAAAGCATTGCAACCATGATCAGTGGATCATGGGTGCAATGCTCTGGCTCCTGTAAACTCTTCCTTTGTCTTTCTTCATACCTCAGTACGGACCTTAATACCACATGGATGGCAGGAATAAAGATCTGGTCATTTTTCATATTTTATGTTACACCCTGAATATGTGTGCAATATGAAATATGATCAGAAAAGTACATTTAGCCTTTAAGGGTATTAGAATGATCTTTGCCTTGGGCCCATTATCTTCTTAAAGTGAACAAAAGAATATATTTTAGCAACTGTAGATTACTTTTCTAACCATGTTTTGTAAATTTTAGGTCCAGCCATTGACATTCTCCACAAAGTGGACCTTAAATTAATCTCTCAAGATGTGTGCTCTGACCTATATCGTTATCAGATTAGTCCAAGAATGTTTTGTGCTGGATATCTTGATGGCACCAAAGATACATGCCAGGTATGTAATATTTGCAAATGTTGCAAGTTTAAATCAGCCTTAAAAGCATTTGGTGGGATTTCTACCCTTTTCCCCCTCTCTGTTTAACCCTCACAATCCCTTTCTACTTTTCTAATTTATTTTCTCTTCATTTACACACCTTTCACTATTTACTTCTGTTTCCACATATTTCTAAAAATAGGTTCTTTAAGAGGTTTTCCACTTTAAAACTGCTGCTACTGATACCCCTGGTCTCCTCAGATTATATCAGAAGACTAGCTCAAGCTATACTTTGTAAAAGTGCTTAGAGTGGCAGTATATCTACAAGGTGAAACCATGATATTAGACCTCACCTCCTGGTTTTAGGGAAACATGAGGGATACTATTAATGTTTCTACATATTAGGGCCACAAGTATGTGCCCACCTTCATACTACTAATGAAAATGTTTTTAAGCATACTTATTTTCAAATACATATATGGTCCATATAATAAACTTAGTTCACTTTGAAAATTGCTAGAGGAAAAAGGCTTAGCCCGTGCATGCAGAAAGATTTCTTTACAGTAACAGCTGTGAAAAGGTGGGATAAACTTTCACAGGAGCTAGTTCTAGCCAACTCTAGTTTGTTTTTAAAAAGGTTGGATGTGTTTTTAAATAGAAATGTAAAGACTATTCCTGGTTATTAATATTTGTAAGCAACACTGTAGATTGTTGATTTTGGGAATATCCGGTTCAGGAAGTTTATGGTAATGGACGTGTATTTTTTCAGCCTGATACTTACCATATTTGTGCTTTTTATAGCTGTTTGTGAGGGGAAATCACTCCCATAGGGCAAAGACAGCAGCAAAAGCCTAATGGAGGTTTCACCCCACCTCTGTTTTTGTAAGGATTTGTAACCTACTTGTTGTAGGTTTGTCAAGCAAAGTGATAGGGCCGGCTGCAGATGACTGCCAATCGCCTGTGGTGCATATTGACTGGTGGTGGATTGTTATCACTGTGTCCTTCTGTTGAGTATTATGTCGCTTCCTGCTGCCCACCTGATATTTGTGTTGCTGTTCTTCATGTTCCTCCTGTTGAATTTTCTGCTGCTTTCTTCCTGGGCCCTGCTGCCTGCTTGCTGATCTTGCTGCTGTTCTGTGCTTCCTGTCATACTGCTCTCTGCCTGTTGCTGACTTTCTGGCTGTTCCTACTCCTGCAATTTTCTTTGCTATTTCCTGCAGTCCAGACTCCATTCTATGCCATTATGCCAGTCTTGTTTTATGTATTCCTTCAGGTGAGCTAATCACATGAAGAATATATACCTAATGATTGGTCCATACTTATTGAAAGCAGATAGAGTAGCATTCCGATTGCTGTCACTGGGGTGTGTTTTTATATAATCCTATAGTTCTTTCTGTTGTCCTTCTCAGTGCTTTACCCATATTCTAATCCCAAATCTTGTCTCCTGGATCTCTAAAAGTGCCCATACACCTGCCAATTATCGTACAATAATCGCGGGTGATCCCGCAATCGTACGATAATCGGCAGGTGTATGGGCAGCGTGCAACCGCTTCTACTGTAAGGTCGTACGACTTTCCTCTTCCGAGCACGCTGAAAAACCTGCCGAAAATCGTACGATTTTCACACACTGCTCACCCAGCACTGCAATCATCGGAAGCCCTCCCCTCAGCTGGGAGGGCTAGCGATGCGTGCAAGTATGATCTGCCTGTCCAAGATGGACAGATCATAAAAATTTGTTATCACCTTACATGGTTGTAAAGTGTATAGTCAGCTTAATTCTTTATCCTCCATTCTCAGGCTGCCTAGATCTTGCTGTTCCTTCTGCACCTGATTCTGATCTTCTGACAACTTTCCTACCCAACACAAAGTTTATAGCAAAAAAAAAATATCAGGTTCCAAGTAGTTTGTAGTAATAACTGATAAAGGTTTTAATAAGATTTGAGTGCGCTCATCATCCCCTTTTCTTTCTTTTGTTTTTGGTCATAAAGGTAACAGGTTCACTTTAAAGGAGAGACCATCAGGAATTAATTGCTACTTTTGGGTGTGGAGAAACAAGTAACACCTCCCTTACCTTCCCACAATGCAGCATGGGGGAGGGTGTACAGTCCTGTACAAGTTTTGACTTGCTGAGCAAGTGGAAACTGACATAGGAATTTTGGGGGACTTTATGTTAACTCATGATGTATTTAAGGGGAAAAAAAACTATTTCTTAAATTGTTCTTACCACAATGCTGGCTTTCTGTATTTCAGGGTGACTCTGGCAGCCCACTAGTTTGCAAAGAACCAGAAGGACGCTGGTTTATAGCAGGGGTGGTGAGCTGGGGGGCTGGTTGTGCAAGACCCAAATTTTATGGAATATATACTAGAATAACTCGACTTGTTGGATGGATTCACAATGTCACAGGTCAATAACAAAATAAAAACAGAACACATCCCATCACCACACCAACCTGAAACATATTACAAATATCTAAAGGATGGAACTGAAGCATCAAATGAACTGAATGTCATTAAAGAAGAGAAAAAAAATAGTCTTTGGCGTTTGCTATTATAAATGAACTTATTAATCATCAAAAAGTTATCTGGGTTAATGAAAACACTAAAATAATGTACAATTTCCTTATTACTTAGAAAAGGAATTGTAAAATCCTGCACATGGCATAACAACAGAATGATCTCCAAGCAAATATTTTATAGCTACTGTACTATATTAAGAATTTATTGCACAAAGGATATTCACATATAAGCTTACTGAATAATGTGAACTGTGTGTTATAATTCACAGCTGCATATGACCCTTATTTAGTGAATGGTGTAATCTGATTTTGCAGCTCATTTTGGTTTTCTGCACTGCATTATTATTAAAGCTCAATCAGAAATGATATAGAGAAAGATTAAGTTTACATTATATTTTGATAATGAGACATATGCATATGAACTGTTATATGTAGACTCGTCCTACTTAATATGTGATTATGTATAGTAATTCAGCTTGCCTATGACCCTATGCTTACAATCTGTTAAAGATTACAAGGTGGCTCTAATGTAGTATTTGGCTTTCATAACACTGTTGCAAAGAACGATAATATAAAATCATAACCAACCAGGTCAATAAAAGAAGGTTTTTTTAATGTCAAATTTAGCTGTTATCCACACTGCTATTTACTTAACTTCAAATAAATCCCAGCCATAATGGTGAAGGCGGGGGGGGGTCTCTGTGAGGTTTGTACTGCCGTCTCAGTGCTCAGTGGGGATATTTTTAGTTTGACAAAGGCCCAGTCTGGAACCTGCTATTTGACTCCAACTACTCTCTAGACCACAAACTGGGAATCATCAGAACTCTACACCACCGGGCAGAGAAAATTCCCATCAGAACAGAGGCCAAGATGAAGGAATTTAAACACCTCGGGTGGGGCCTTAAAACTTGCGGGTATACAGACTGGGCATTTGTCAAAACAGAAAGAAGAGGAAAGAATGCCAAGAGTACCAGTGAAGGTGAAAAGCATGACAAATGGAAGAATTTGGTCATCCCATATGTAGCTGGGGTGTCAGAGAAACTCAGAAGGGTTTTTAAAAAACATCACATCCCTGTCTGCTTTAAACCCAACAATGCACTGAGGCAACAACTAGTTCACCCAAAAGACCTAACGCCAAAACACAAGAAGAACAACATTGTGTATGCAGTCCAGTGCAGTGAGGAGTACTCAGAATTGTATGTCGGTAAGACAAAACAGCAGCTACACCAGTTATGCATTCAACACCTGGTTGCGACTAACAGATTATGTGGATTGGAGCAACATTCACCATATTTATTCCCAGAGATTTGTTTACAAGTCATTCTGAATTGAGAAAAGCTGGTTGGATGACCAGTGAAACATCTTCAAGAAAAATACACCAAGTTCAGTGGCCTTGACTTATTTTTTACAGATATGTAAAGCATGATAACATCGATAAAAGCATACAGAGCAAATCAATGCTATAACAAATAAAATAAATTCAGGAAACCTACCTTGAGGTAGCCACATCCTCCTTAGCAACAGAAAAAGTTCAAACTTGTTCAAGGTATTTGAAAAAGATCCCCTGTGTTTTTCTCACCAAGCACAGAACTGGAGAGTGTCAGCCGAGTGATCAATCTACCCTGACAGTAAGAGAAAGCTAACAGGGGTTTGAAACCTTCCCCATGCTATAAAAAACAATAATGGGGTTTCCTTTAAAATCTTAAGTTCTCAAAATCTCACCTGATGGGGGCAGTAAGTGAAAACCTTTATAGTCAGAAAACAACTGTGACACTAAATTCAGGAGTTACATCTTAAAAATGCATCCAAGTATCTTAACTATTAACAAACATGTAGTGCATCACTCAGCTGTAGATCCTCATCACAGGAGTAAGTTGGAGTGGTGGTTACTTTACAACACACACAGGGACCATGGGGAACAAAAGTAGGCACCCTCCTAGGACAGTGTCAACACTAATTCACAGATGATTTGAGGATCTACAGCTGAGTGATACAAAAGTTGCAGTTTTGGTAATAGTTAGGGTACTTAAATGCATTTTTAAGGAGTTTGGTTACTCCTCCTGAGTTTAGTGTCACTTTAATTTACTTTTTTGTTGTTGCTTAGAGCTGAGCTAAATAGTAACTAGTCACACTTTCTGTAACTCCTATGGACTTCATGGGGCAATGTTAGACAGGCAGTTTTTTCACTTCATTTCACTAAGGTCCCATTCACACCATAGTGTTACATTAATCACAGAATACTGTGCGATTAATGCAAGCTATCACACGATACACCTAGCATGCATTATCGTGCACTAGGTGCGTTGTGTTGCCCTTTTTTTGAATGGCACCTTAATGCACGGTACTGCAATACTGTGTGTTGCATTGCAGTGCTGTGGAAAAAAAAGTAGTGCATGTGGTACCACATTTTGCAGTGCACGGCGGCCAGTAAGTGTGTTGGGGTGGCATACAAATAAAAAGCAACACAACACTCCTAGCGCATGGTAAGGTGTGTTGTGTGATAGTGTAGATCCGGTTATTAATACAATGCTATGAATGTGCAAATGTCCCTTAAAGAATAAAGAATTTATACAAACCTTGTTATTTTTTCTGTCTATTTCCTTTCACGTCTTGACTCAGAGACTCAACAGCAAGCAATGGTGATCCCCTCTAACTCAGATTTATACTCAGCCCCTGTTCTGGTGACAACTGTATAATTGTAGATTTTCAATTGTCAGTGGGCACAAAGACAATCTGAAATAGTGAATCTTCCAAGTAGGGGCACAGATAATCCCGACAAGGGTTCTACCTCTTTACTACTTTATCCAAAACTTAAAAAAAAGTTTTAGCTATAAAAACACTTTAAGAACAAAGGGCAGTAATCCACAGCAACTATTCAGAATTTGTTTTCATTAATTACGGCAGTAAGCTAAACCAATGTGATTGGTTGCTATTAATTACTGTGATTTGCCTTACTGCTTTATCAAATAGGCTCACGTAAGGCAACATAATGAAACATATGATAATATGCTGCATTTTACTGAAATTGAGTGTTGCTGTGAAAAAAAATAATTGTTTGACTTTCATGCAAAGTTGACATCCTTTTAGATTAATTTAGCTCAATATACAAACTAAATAAATTACTTTTGTGCATTGCTTATAAGCTTTATAGATAAGATCTCTGCACTTGGGCTGCTGTGTCTATACACCTGCAGTTGTCATTATGAGGGTTTACACTTCCCCTCTTCAATTCATTGATTTTATATCATTACAAATGCAACACAAGGAGCTGGAAAACACAAAGGTGGGTGGGAACTCAGAAAACATTCAGGTGGACAGAAACAGAATTGAAAAATAATGTTTGGAGATCTCACTGTTGGAATGTCTGAAGCATTTTAAAAAAAACTCCAGGAACTTTTTTTTATTAACCATGGGAGTAGGGGTTTCCCCACAATGCAAGGGTTAAGTGTTCATTTGTGTCTAGGTTAAAAAAAAAAAACGTATACCTATCTGATGCTCTGAGCCAGCTTCTTCTTAAGATGGCCATACACCTATAGATTATCTGCAGATTTCCTATGGTCAGATGGAAAAAGTGCAACAGATTCCTCCATCTACGCTAAACTGTGTAGATGGAGGAATCTCCCAATGGGCCAAGCTTCAGTATCTTGCTAGTCAGCCCCGCTGGCTTTCAAAATACATGAACGATCTGATTGAATGACGACATTGTTCAGGTATTTTGAGAGCCACCTCTTAGACTTTTGAGAGTGTAGATGGTAAAATGGTTTGCTTTCCAGAGACACCTGTCTATTTCTCCTTCCAGGCCCTGGTTTTAGCATCAACCAGGGAAACCTCAAGTGACCTGCAAAGACTGTTACGGCCCCATTCACTTGAGCTGAGCATCTTTGGTCTTTTTTTTCAGGCTTCCTTTTGAGCATTTGTACCAGTGTTTTTTGCATGCTTTTTAGGCGTGAGCGTTTTTTTCATTATTAATTTTAACCAATGGTAAGCTAAACTTACCATTGGGCCTAACTAAACGTCATACCAAACACAGGATTTCGTTGTTCTATTGTTTTACCGGCCAAAAAATCTTTTTGTTACGCTGTTTTTACTGGATTTAAAATAAAGCCCTTTTGGAAACTGGTATACAATGAAAGGCTTTTTCTTTATATGACCTTGGAGACACACCGCTCGCTGGATACCGATCGTTAAGAGACACGGTGAGGACGCTGCAGCTCATGGTCCAGGGTCATTGTGTCTATATACCGTATGAGCACTTAACACAGTCACTCAATTTTTGCACTGTTTTATTTCACAATTTTATGCTATATACGAATGTTTATTTGGTATAATAATCTCAAGTTGTATATTGATTTATACACACTGATTGTTTATTGATACATTTTGGTTTATATATGGTTTTGTCACTGATCACGGTGTATTTTTAGGTCAAAGGACCAATTAAGTTATACACGCTTCGTTAATACTTAGTTAGACATATCCGTAAGTTGGCGCTGCATAGTTGGAAGCACGCAAGATTTGACCCAGGTGTCTTTATTGGAGCAGCCTTCATAAAATGTAGAAATTCACCAAAATAAATCTATTAAGGCACAGACACTTATTTCACTCATCCAGCGCAGGAATAATAAACACAAAATATTTGAGAGTCCACCTTCCGCGTGTCTTTCAGGTGCTCCCGTTGAAGTCTTTTTTTTTAGCCAAAATGCACAACTCTGCCCCAAAAGAAGCTCATCTACTTATTTGCACTACAGGCATTTTGCTACAAGCGACAGAATGCTCAGATGAGAGCAGGGGCCATTGAAAACAGTGGGATTTCCCCTGTTGAGCGTTGGACAGGGTCATTATAAGAATTAATACTGATTGAATTCTCAAAGTGTACTCAACAAACATAAGCTTCCTTATATAATTTGAAGGGTATGGCTGTGAGGCACTGGATCTGCGGTT